ACCACTGGGCCAATTGGTAGCATCATGTTAGATGGAGAAAAGATTATAATTGTCAACAACTTCATCTTATTTGGATCCACAATCAATACCTTTGGTACCAGTAGTCAGGAGATCAAGGAACATTGGTAAAATCTGCTGCCAGGAACCTCTCCAAAGTACTAAGGATCAATAAGGTCAATTTGAAGACAAAAGTGCACCTGACTCAGGCTATGGTCTTCAATTACTTTCCATCTGAAACTGGACAATTAATAAGCATGACAGAATAAGAATTCATGCCTTTGAGCAATGGGCTCAACTATTATGAGTATGGAGCAAGATAGGACAGGGTTCAGGTCTGTTCAGATCATAGGTTTACTATGGGTCATACTTGACTGAATGGTACCTAACAATAACTTCACAACCCTTGTTAAAAACTCTTTAACTCTCCATCATGCTTATGCACTAGCAACCCTGCAGACCACCATTGGTCTCCAGGGCCCAGCATGACTCAAGTAGCCGAGCTGCTTCCAAACACAACCATCCGACATCATCCTTGTCACTCCACACCTGGCTCAGAGCACCTCATTTCTCGGAGCCCAATCTAGGGACCAGAGATCTGTGGGATTTACAGCATCACAGTGAAAAGATGGGAAGCAGGCAGGGGTTCCCCTGTTTGGAATCTAACCCGTCTTCCTTCCTTCTCTTTCAGGCTTTTGATATTCTGAGAGTGACGCATGGTAGAGAGCACAGGCTGATTGAAGATCTGATTCTTCTCTTAGAAGAATGTGAAGCCAGCATCAGCATGTCATGAGGGAGGCCAGGCAGATGGCGAGTCGCCCTCCCTGTGCCGGATTCCTCCGGGTTTAAATTGCCGCGTGAACCTTCAAGTTGGAAATGCTCTTCTCTGTCTGTGGAGGCTTGGAATGGCTCGCTACTCACAGGAATCATGACTTGCAACAAAGCAGAACTGGAATAAATAAAAAAAAAAGATTGAAAATGCCATCTGGTAATTATTTTCTTTGCTTTTCCTCCCGTTATTTTTCTATTAATTTACTCACTTGATCTTTTCACAATTGCTTTCAGGCAAACTTAATGTCTGTTTTGGCAAGAAGCAGCATTTTCAGACCTTTTTTATTTTCAATTTGTGGGAAATGATGTGTGTGTTCATTATTCACTTCCAAATCTCTCTCTCACACAAGTACACAAGTTTTGACCCAAATCCTAGCAAGAGATCATTTCAGGTGTGATATTAGGAATAGGATTGTTGTTGCTGGTTGCTATAGGGCTGGGTCAGCTTAGTCCTGCTAAAGGCCCGTGCATGACAGAAAAACACTGCCCAGTCCTCTTGTGGCTTGCTGATTATTGGTACACGCAAGTCCACTGTTGAGATCACTCTGTATTCTGCACCCTTTTTCCACATAGGAGACTTGTTTGTGGACCATGGAAAACAATGTATTGGACAAATTCTATCGTGATTCAGAGGGTTCTCATTGTTCACTTTTCAGAAATAGATCGCCGAGTCTTTCCTGTGTTAGTCTGGAAGTGCCACTGAAACCTGTCCACCATGGAGGACCACGCAAGTCACCATGGTACCACAGACTAATAGACAGATGGTGATAGGACAGGGTGTTGCTAGCTTTGTATTGTCAGTAGGTGCTGTTGAGTTGATTCCAACTCACAGCAACCCTCAATGCAAGAGGACAAAACAGTGCTCAGTCATGCTTCACTCTGAGAGTTGTCACTGTGTGCTGCCTCCCCTGCACCAACACATCTTGTTGAGGATCTTCCTCCTTTTCTCTGTCGCTATGCTCTTCCAAGCATGATGGCCTTCTCCAGGGGATGACACTTCCTGGTAATGTGTGAAATACATGAGATGAGGGCTTACCCTCTGCGCTTCCAAGGAGCATCCTGGCTGCACTTTTCCCTTCTTCTGGCAGTCCATGGGATGGTCAACATTCTTCACCCACGTCATAATTCAAAGGCATCAATTCGACACCAGTTTTCCTTATTTACTTTTCATATTTTGCAGGTATATAAGGTTATTAAAAATACCATGGTGTGGATAAGGCATGCTATATTTTTCAAAGTGACATCTTTGTTTTTTAACATGTTAAAGAAATCTTTTACAGCAGATTTCCCTAATGAAATACATTATTTGATATCTTAAATGTTGCTTCCAAGAGTGTTGATTCTTTATCCAAGTAAAA